TACTAAACCTTTTGAAGAATACGCTAGCGAATGTATCAAGATTATTTTTAAATATGAAATTTATTTATATGAATGCAAAAGGCTTAACACTATAGAAGATAAAACTAAACTATCTAACATTAAACATGACTCATTATATACCAAAATCCACTTTGAACAAATAATAGACAAATACTTTAAATGGGTAGATGATATTAAAATGTGTAATCATAATATAGCATACGAAAATAAAACCTGTAAAATTGTTTCGAATCACATACGCAAATTATTAAATAAGAAAGATGAATTTGAAATAGGCGATGTTATGATATGTAAAGAATATTCAAAAATAAAATGCTTCGTGTTCAATGTTAATTTTAGATTTACCATAGTCAAAATTGATGGTAACATATTTAGTTTACAAAATGTTAAAACAATGGAAGAATTAACAATTTTGAAAGATAAGCTTCGTTCAAATTTTATTTACAGATATTGCTTTACTGCTCATTCTGTTCAGGGCAGTTCAATAGATGATGAGATAGTGATTTATGACTGGAATAAAGGTTATGTATCTAGGCAATGGGTCTGGGTTGTATTAAGTCGAGCTAGGGACTTGAATAAAGTTAGTTTTTATAGATATTGATTTAAAGAAAAGAAAACTTAAGATAAGTAAGGATATGAGCAGATATGAGAATGGCAAGATTTACAGGATAACAGATGTGGGATATAATAAATGCTATATAGGTTCTACATGCGAAGAACTAAGCCAGAGAATGGCAAGGCATAGATACAAATACACGCAGTATCTTAAAGGCAAAAAATATAGAAATACTGTATTCAAAATATTCGATGAATTCGATGTTGAAAATTGTAAAATTGAATGGATAGAAGATTACCCTTGTAATAGCAAAAAGGAGCTGGAGGCAAGAGAAGGATATTATATAAAAAATAGTAAATGTGTAAATAAGAGAGTAGAAGGTAGAACTGATAAAGAATATAGAGACGATAATAAGGAGAGAGAGCAAGAAAGGCATAAGAAATATTATGAAGAAAACCAAGACAAAATTAAAGCCTACCGAGAAGCAAACAAAGAAAGGAGAGCTGAATATAGTAAAACATACCGAGAAGAAAATAAAGAACTAATAAGGATAAAAAAGAAAGAGTACAGAGAGAAGAATAAAGACAAAATTAAGGAAAGTCAAAAGCAAATCTATGAAGCAAATAAGGAAGAGCGACAAAATAACAACCGAGAAAACTATGCCAAGAACAAAGATAAATACAAATTAACATACAAAAAATACTACGAACAAAATAAGGAACATATAACAGAACAAAGGAAAGTTAAATTTACCTGTGAATGTGGCAGAATAGTAAGAAAGGATGGCAAGACAGAACATGAAAGAAGCCAAGTGCATCAGCAATGGCTACAACAACAAAAGCAACCAGAACAAGAACCAGAATAAAATTAAAATATCTTCTTTAGTATAATGAGCAATAGTAAAGAAGATATAATAAAGGATGTTTATTTTGACAAGGGGGGTTTCGGAAGTAAAGCCACCACACTTAAGGACAGTAGGGCAAAGGATAAAAGCATAACAATGGCAGATATTGAAGCATTCTTTAAAAATAATGTTGAACAAAAAACTAAAATGAGAGGATATAACAGTTTTATTCCGAAAGAACCATACTGGGAATATCAAATGGACTTATTCTTTTTCAGTGATTTAACAAATCAAAAAAATAGGGTTGCTTTCTTATTTATTGACGCTTTCACAAAATATGCGGTTGTTATACCTATCAAATCTAAACAACCTGAAGATGTAGCACATGGAAGAGTAAGGATTACACAAAATGGGAAGGAAGCCGAAAATGGTTTATGGAGATATGGAAGGTTCATTTACAACAAGCATCATTCAAGATTATTTCAAAAAAGAAGGCATTGAATTATATTTAACAAGAGGACATGCTCCAATGGCTGAACGATTTGTGCGCACGTACAAACAAATGCTGTATAAGCGGATTGAACACGATGAGAAAAAAGGAAAAGAAAATATACAATGGACAGAATATAATTTTGAAGTATTACTTACTTATAATAATAAAAGGAATAACAGAAAAGGAACGCACAAGCCATTGGACTAAACAAACCTACAAAATAGCAAAGATTGAAAAGAAGTTAGGACAGGAATATTATTATATTGAAAATTATGACAGGGCATTTTGAGACATGAGTTATTAAAGGTATAAATTTATTTCTTGTAAAAAAGTATTTAAAGAAATAAAAACTATATATTATAATAGAAATGGTGGAAACCGAAATCAATAATTATATCAATAAGAAATGCTACGATTGTTGCCACTTTAAAAAAGAGAATATGGAATTATATAAATTGAATTTACCTAATGGAATAATAAATAATATTATTGATTATGCGTTGGACGAAGAAAATATATGTAGAACTTGTAGAAGATGGAGACGATATCAAAATATAATAGAAAATTGTTTGGCGTTTAAAAATATAGATGAAAGAAATGTTGAAGATGAAATATTGATATTTTTAACTGTGTATGATAGGCCACCTTATGATTATGTTAAAGCATTTCTAAAAATCAGTAAGAAAAAGTATGACATTATTACACACATATTATGGATGTTGATTTATTATAGTAAACCCGGCGTTGATGTAAAAAAAGTCATAAAATCATATATTGAAAGTGAAAAATTTAATGTTAAAAATACAGTGGGAGATATTAATATTATTTTTAAAATGATGTATGAAAGAGGTAAGATATATCAATTAAATTATTATCCTGAACTTAAATTATAATCATAATATAATAACAACATGTAAAATATTATATGTTATAATTATATTTCAATATGTAATTTTATTTCTTGTAAAAAAGTATTTAAAGAAATAAACACTATATATATTACAGTGGAAATGTTATTTAATTATTCAAAGTGCGAATGTTGTACAACTAAAAGGAATGATGTTAATATAACATTGTATAAGTTATTACCTGCTAATCTGTGTAGTAAAATAAGTGAATATGATGTATATTGTAATCAATGCTGTATAACAAGAGACCTTGAAAAGTGTTTTGTTGAAAAATATAAGGATAAGGGATATACAAAGTTTCAATTACAATTGAAATTCTTTATGAAATATCACAAAAGATTTCCTGTATAGTTTTGTCATAAAATTGCAAGAAAGTCATTTGAAAAAGAAATTGATGAGTTCTTCAATAATAAAGATTTGATTAAAAGGTTTGGAGGGACAAGCGCAATTAAACCATATAAAGCATTTGTTAAAAAATTTCGAGGCATGTTTGATGCGATTGATTGGCATTTATTAAGTAAAGATAAAATAAACGAGGTCTTGAATGAATTTAGAATAACTAAATATCATGTATGGTATTACTACAACACTAAATATCAAGTATGGCTACTAGTTAATTTGTTTTTCTGGGAATATATTTATTCAATAATAGGAAAAGACAATATCAAATATATAGACATTGGCGATATTGATAAATATGTAGATTACATATTTGAAGACATTTTTCCTGACTATAAATGTAACCCATAATTATTAATCATACTATAATAATAACATTTATAGCCTTATATGTTATAATTATAATGTAAGTATAGCGTTTTATATATTGAAGATAAAATCCTACAAGAGGACCACACCCAAACAAATATATGATGAAACTGATGAAACGAAGGAGGGTGTGATGTTGTTGCTGTTCTATTTTTTGTCCGGGAAATGGACAAATCGTTTTTAGACAGTTCGAATATTTTTTTGATGACAAATATTTTTTGCAATATATTTTGCAAAATTTCATTTTTTGAAATGGATGAGGCGAGGAGATTGAGGAAATGACATTTTGGAGGGTAGTTGGTGAAATGAATGAGGCGAGGAGGAAGGAGAAAAGGATGGCGAAAATTTTGGAAAAATGATGAGAAAAAAACGGATGAGATGGACAGAAAGGAATGTAGAAAAATGATGAAAACAAATAAGGGTAGAAGATGGAAGATGAAAAAAAATGTAGGGTGGGGGGTATGTATGAAAGCAATTTATTGCTGGGCAAGGCCCCCGACTACTGATATGCCCGCCGCCGTCTCGAGCGGCCCAAGGGTCCTTTTTTGACCGGACAGAGCGAAACTAAACCAAAAAGCCAGCTTTGGTGTGTCCAACAGGGGGGGCTGTTTCCTTAACATACGTAACTTTCCGATTTTGGCACGCTCCCCTTTGCGTTTTGAAGCCTTCCAGGGTCCCCGCCCAGGTGGGATGGAACTCCGTCCCCAGCTTCCCCCTGAGCTGCAGGAAGCCTGGACTCAGATTCATTCGATTCATGTGGCTTTCCTGGGGATCGTTCGTTCCCCTGGATCGGTGAGCTCGCTACAGTCAGCGCAGCAATCCCGACACAAATCGTTGACGATCTGGCACACCAAGCTGGCCAGCCCCCGAACCTCCCGAGAACTGGGGCTGGGATGCATCAGTCCGATGATCGAAAGGGCGTGGCTAGCATGACGTCTTCCATAAGGCATGCATCACTCCCGCCACATGGAGGGTGAAAAGGAAGTCCACCTCTCCAAAGGCGATTCCCGAGAGGCTTTTGGGGCGCCATGTTCATCCCCCCGCCGCTCTTTTTGGGCCGCAGCTTACGCGGACCACCCGCTCTCGGGCGGTCGAAACCCGCCAAGGCCGGCGGAAGCGCGGCCTTTAGGCCGCTCAGGCCGCGAGGAAGCCGAAGGCCGCAGCGAAACACATGCGCGAGCAACACCAAACTGATCTACACGCGTTTCCTGCTCACTCACTACAGCATGGTTGTGGAAAATCACAAAGTTTGAAGTGTGGGGAAGAATTACCACCCGCCACGATTACTTCATTGACCCACTTTGCATCACAGAAAGGGTCCGCAACCACCTAAAGCCCGATTCTAACTACATCCTGTTTCCGCAACCGCCCGAGCCTCGAGCCCTGCTCGCTTTCCACAACCATGCCCCTTCAATTCCTATTCAAAACCCGCGCAAGGGCCTTGCGCCTCAGCAGCGCGCCCGCCTGGCGCTCCAAACCTCCCGCCCAGCGCAGCAGGTGGTGCCCATCGATCGAAGCGCCCATCACCTAACGAGTGCAACAATGCACCCAGCATGGGTGTTTTAGGGGTTTGGAAAAAAAAGCATCCGGGCTTCAGGGAATGTTCAACTGGGCCATTTAGAACGCATCTGTACCAACTCCTGTACGTCACCAACCTCGGGGCTGGGTGATACATTGGAAGTCTGGAAGGAGAACCACCAACCAAACAATGAGTGTCAGTTGAGACAGCCCCAACTCGGGAAAACAAAAACGGGTCACTCGACCCGCTGTCCTCCAGGCACTGGGCCAGGCCGGCCGCGGTGATAAGGTCCGGCTCCAGCTGGGCGACCCGCAGCTCCTGCAAGGTTTGACGGGGCTTCAGGGCTAGCGAGATGACCCCACTTACTCCCATCCAAAAATAAAATGGAACCAGAAGAAAGGGTCCCCCTAAAAGGTGTTTCCTCCAGACATGATTGCTTTTTGGGTTTGATGTTCACCTGCCGGAAGAACAAGCCGAAACCGAGTCAAACTGCCCGGAAATCAAGCATCTCCTCGGCAGGAAATCCAAATGCCCACCGAACAGCTGCCAACTTCGGCAGCAAAATCCCAGTTACCACGCAAGGCTCCTCCCATCCCACCACCCCCCCCCCCCGCTTTTCCTTGTTCCCATCAGGCAAAACAACTCCCCCCTCCTCCCTGCCTCCGCCAAGTGCAGGGCCCAGCGCCAGGGCACCGCAGCGATGGCGGCGTTGAAGCTGACCAAATCCACCAGGCCCTCCCGCTGCAGCTGCCCCAGCCTCGCCAGGCACGGGAGTGAGCTGTGGGACCTTTTTCCATGGGCTTTTGCGGGGCCAACAAGCCTTGGCTTTGGGGGGGATGCCTTTAAAGTTGCTTGTTACATGTTGGTTGACAAGTTTGGATCCTTAGGTGTTGGCAAGGATAGATTGTGATGGTTGTATGTTGTCTTTTCTGTTGCTGCGTGGTTGCGTGGTTGCGTGGTTCTGAGTTTTGCTGTTTTGCTTAGTTGATGGCTGTTGTGGTTGTTGTCTCGCCAATTGGAAGGAACAGCCAGGTCTAGAGTTCCAAGTCCCCAATATCTTTGGTAGTGGCAGCTGGATGTCGTATCTGGAAGTAGCTTTTGCATTCAACGATGGGGAAGTGGCCAAAACTCCGTGGAGCGCGGAGTTTGGGACCATACGGCCGGGGACCATGACCATCCCCAATCACAAGGCCTTGAAGGCGCAGGTAAGGTCGCCCCTTGGACGCCCGCTGACTTTGCACTGGAGGCTAAGGTCACGCGCAGGGGATGTGAGTTTAGCTGGTGCCGGCCATGTAAGGGGCTAAAGATTGAAAAATGGCTTAGCTTGTCTTTGACCACAAGTTTAGTTATGATCACAGTAGCGAGATGTTGATGAGTGATTATTTGCGTTGATCTCGCTGATGTTCATTGCGCTCCAAGTCTTCCAACCCCCCCGTCCTCCGAATTGCCCGTTAAATGGATGTGTGGCAAAATCGGCTGCCCCCCTCTGGGGCTTCGGGCAGTGCCAGGGCCATCGGCCACCGAGTCTGCAGAGCCGCCAGCGCCGCGTTCCCAGCCACCTCCGTCTGGGAGGCTCTGGCGCCTAGCCTCCCTAAGGTTGACCCCAGAAACCCGTCCGACTAGCGGGAGCTTTCCCGCGCGACCATGGGAGGTTTAATGTTTGTTACATCTGGGGCCGAAATCAACATGGAACCACCCGAGATATTGCGGGACCCTCCAGTCAGGTTCCATGGTGGGAGAAGGCAGCTCGGTGACTGCTCGGTGACTGCAAACACCACTGGAACTGCAGGTGCGTGTCAGCAATGTGGCTGTGTCTGTTTTAGACTTGGTACCCTTGTTGGAGTCGGTTTAAAGGGAACCTCAAAGGACACTGACCATTTTTGGGGGGTCCCCTGGTTTCAAACACATCCATGTTCTTTGAAGTCCCGTCCCTCCTTAACAACAACAAGCTCAAACAACTCAACATAAACCGTGCCAAACACAGCGACTGCCAGATTTGCCTCATGCCCTTGCTTGGGAAATGAACTTCCAAAGGGGCCAACAACTGCGACAAATCCCATGTTCGAAACCCTTGTGGTCCTGGTGCGGGGCCTCCAGGAAAGAAAAGGATATCAATCCTCTAAAATCCGGCAACCTACCCACGTACCCTAGGTTCGGGCCAACTTCCTGTAGACTTTCCGGTGGCAAGCATGGCCAAGGCCTCTTTGGAACTTAAGCAAATCTCAACTGGCGACGAACAGAAATGTAAGCATGTTTGTCTTCAACCAAGCCTTTGCGGGTACCCTCCTGTGAGAAAGAATGCATGAACAGGGGTTTTCTTGGAGTAGATAGTCAAATAGATAAATAGATCACTAAACAAGGGGATGAGGACAGCCAGGCCCCTGGAAAACCCGCTTTGCTTCATGACCCGGATTCACAACAGGGTTCCCTCCCCACAAACCCACAAACATAACACGGTCTTCCAAAACCCCTAATTTCCATATTAGGCGGGCACACACAGTCCAGGAGCTCAGGGAGTGAGTGGGCGAGCTGAACTGGTGTGTCTCAACATGAAGGAAAGCAAACAAATGGCAATGGGTTCCTTTGGGTCTCCCCTTGCACAAACACACATCAATTTCGAGGCTGCGCGTGTTCGCATCCCCCGTTTCGCCTGGTCCAACTGCAGGCTGTGGCCGCGAAGGTCCTCCAGTAAGTGCACGGCCCAGCGCCACTGGCCGCACTTCTCGCAGGCGCTCACCTCATCTCGTCGCGAAGGTCCATGCGCGAACCGGTGGCCAAGGGGTTTGGACAAAGCCCAGGATGATTCTTCCAATTTTAGGTTCCTTTGGGGCAAATGGAAGATAATGGCGAGCATTCACCATGCAGTTGCCTTTGGTACAATTTTTGTTTGACGGCCGGGTGCAGTTCCAGCCAACCTGAAAAGGGGGAGGAAGAAAAGGGAGCCAGCTTTTCAGGCGTCCAGTAGCCTCTTGCCATTTCTTTTCCTTTTGCAAGGGGACCCCCCTCTTGGCACCGGAGTTCCTCCTAGCGGCCCTTCCAAAAAAAAGAAAAGGGGACCCCCCCCCAAAAAGAAATACCTATGGTGGTTTCTCTTCTCTCCCATCCCAGCAAGGGGGCGCGCGCCCACAAAGACACCCCTCCCGGCCACACCATTCCACCCCCACCGAGCCCAGCGCCGCAGCGCCATAGGCCACCACGTCCGGCCGCGGAAGGCCAGTCCACATCCGCGCGAGGAGCGCCAGGCAGCGCTGCCACTGCCTGGCCGACTCGGCCGACGTCGGCCGACGTCGGGCCGAGGTCGGCCGAATCGGAAATGGCCAGCGGCAGGCCGTCGGACGGAAGGATCCCACAAGTTGGGAACAAAGGGACCTCCCCAAGAAGAAGAAATATTGAAAAGGCGATTTGGGCAAAAACCGCGGCACCTGACTGAAGAGACGTGTCGTTCAGGTGCCTTACTTAGCTCGCAAGACCGTACTCGGGAATGTTCACGGAGAATCGAAAAGAAACAAAGACCTAGGTGAACCCCGCCAACCAAACAACTCATCTGCTCAAAGAACACGGAAATTGAAGGACCCTCAATGTAGGAACCAAAAGGCAAAAAAGGTCGGCTTTGGGTAGGGCCACGGCAAGAAAATTGCCGTTCGCACAAGGTCGGGGAGAAATGGATGGAAGGCCACGTGTTAAGCACTTCCAGAAAACGAATGACATCCGCTGATCGATTCAATCCCCCTGAAACATCCGGCTGGAAATGAGACTCGTCGGCGATTTAGCCTAGCTGAGCTTAGTCCATGCCTGGTAGTAAGTGAGGTTGCCCCAAAAACCACGGTGCAGAAGTCATGCAGGGACTGTCACCCTACTAGCCGCCAAGCATCCAAATAGTGATTGTAGCTCTTGCCAATCCTCATCCATAACTTCCAAACATGGAAACACGCAAAAAGGTTCCTTAAAGAATACATTTCTAAAAAACACCTGCTCCACAAGGATGCGGATCCTCTCAGAGTAAATGGTAAAGTGATCATCTAACCCAACCCCAAAATCTCTCCTTTAAGGGGCCGGTGTCACCCACAAAAGCAATTCGGACTCCCACCACAAGGTGACACGCCCCCCTAGAAATCAACCAAAGCTTATTTCATTCATCCAACCACCGCCCAGGCTTGGCCGCCTCAAACTCCCCCCCAAAAACGCCTGCCCTTCTCACAGGCGCTGAGCGCCGAGCAGCATGCTTGCACGTCTGGCGACGCCAAACACCTGCGCTCGTGAGCTGCTCAACGTCAAACAGCATCTAAGTACATGCCTTAGGGTAGCTGGCTTTATAAACTACATTCAGGCACATGCAAATTAAAAGAACAAAAACTAATTAAACAACATGAAATGCAACTGAAGAAACACCTAGGTTTGTGTACCGTATATCTATATATAGATGAGCTAGCGGCTAGCAGAAGCAGCGTTCCCGTACATGCAAGGTGTTTACCTCTCACACAGCTGTATGTAGTTGGGAATGTCTGGGCATGTGTCATGCTACACCCGAGAACTGGTTCTTTCCCTCTGGCCCTTGAAGCCCACCAGAAAAGGCCCCAACTGAAAACACAACAAAAAAGCAACTATTTGGGGCACCAAATCTGATCCAAGCCGCCGTTGCATGTACTCCAGCAGGGCAAAGGCCATGGCCCACTCGTGCAAGGCCTCGCATGCACTAAGCCTCGGATCCAAGGCAACACGGCCCAAAGCCAGAACAAAAGAAGCACGTGGATTGGTTTATCGCCGTCCCGCACTAGGGGACATTCACGCAGCAAGCGCGAGTCGAGCGAGGGCCAAATTGTTCTGGTCAGTGCGGTTTCAATGCTTGAGGTTCCCATGGCATTCGGAGACGCAGTCCACCTTCACCGCAAGGGACATCTTCGTGTTGAAGGACATTGGCACATACAAGGGCCAGATGTCACTCTACGTCCACACGAGCTCTTGCAGGAGCAGGGGCCAAAAACAGGTCCGGGCTTCCATGTTTGCCGCAAAACTGACCTTGTTGCTCAGTTTTGGCCGATGCTGTTTCGAAAGGAGAGGTTGCACCAGCATAAAGCATTCATGTGGGGACAACAAATGACGCACACAGCAGAGGGGGGGGAGGGCTCAAGGGGGACGCCAAACGAGGCTCTATACCCGATGAGCGTTTCTCGTCTCTTTCTTCAAAAGCCGAGCCACAAAACAGAAGCATTTACAACGATCTCTCCATCCCTCTGCTTCCTTACAAGGTGTTTCCAAGCCAGGTGTGATTTTCCTCAATCAACATGAGCCTGCGCCTTACTGGGCGCATGTTCCACGTGCCGGGCAAACCGATCGCTCCGCCAGTCCCAGGCGCACGGCCCCGAACCCCGCGGCGTCCGGCGCCGCTTGGGTCACCAGCAGCGCCAGGCCTTGGTCCCAGGGCAGCGCCGCCAGCACCGTGTTGTAGGCCAAGGTGTCCACCTGCTCCTGAAATTCCATGGGCCAAGCCACGCAAACCCCCAAACCACCAGAACAGTAAAAAGCCAATCCACCCCCAAGCCGCCAGAAAAGCCACCCAAACCAGCCCCCCAAACCACCAGAAAATAGGCATTGTTGCATGGTGGTTGGCAACGCTTATGATTCCAAATAAATCTGAAATCAAACCATCAGAAAAACAAATGCACTCCTGAGCTGAATGTTTCCGAAAGTGGGGAAATTCGGTACCCACTGAATCTCTAGACACTTTAGATTTAAGCGCCTAGTGCAAACCATCTTGGATGAATGGGAACCAGACCCGGCATGGGAGGTACAAAAGACTTTCTGAAAGGATACATGGCAGAACCCACCTGGCTTACAGAGGGAACTCCAAGATGCTCGCCACTACCTCCCGAACCACCGAAAGATACCCTTTGTGTGCCTACATTAAGTGGTTGCACGTCTCATTAAAACGGGTAGTGCAAACCAGCTCAGATGAATGGGAACCAAGCGCTAAATGGTGGGTGCATAGGCTTCCTGAAAGGATGCATCCAAAACCCAGCTGACATACACAGGGATCATTACAGGCGGGTACAACTGTCTAAACAACAACATAGATGCCGTTTCAGTTCCCTTGTTTGGTTCCCATGTTTGAATTGATCAATCCAGCGTGGGAAAGCTATCCGTCTACTTCAGCTTTGCCCCAATCTGGACTAAGTTCAGTTCCTGGCCCATATTCAGTGAACCTCAAAATGATTCAACATGCAAACGGATGTCACAAACATTACCCCGCCTTGAGCAACCAGCTAGAGTCAAAGTTTGTGATGTCATGCTGAAACCGCCAACTCACCCTACAAACCGAAAACAGAAGAAGAAAAAGAAGATGATGATGAAGAAGAAGAAGAAGTGGAAACGCAAACGCCTCTGGATCCACCCCTGAAAAGAGGCGACCCTGGCCTTCTTGGCTGCCCGCAGCTGCCGTAAGGCCCAGGGCCACTGACCCTTCAGCGCCCGCAGCAGCGCCCCCAGGCCGGCGCGAGAGGGGGCCGGTTCCAAGGCGGCCAACTGGGCGCGCGGAAGCTTTGGGAGGATTTCTTTCTTCATTTATTTATTTTTTGTTGTGTGTGTGCTCTTATTTTCTTTGTGGTAACAACAGTTTACCCGTTAGCAAAACACGTCACACCACCTGCGATTCTACCATCCTCTTGGGGACGCGGAAGTCGAAGCCCTTCTGCCAGTCCATGGAAAAAAACAGCGCCGACAAAAAAAGGGGGATTGACTGTCAATGCGAGTCATCGCATTGGCATACCGTAAAGCTGAAAAATGACAGAGGTCTGACATGATTGCAGAAGCTGATGGCCCCACTTCCCCATACCAGGCAGAACCCTGCGCCAAAGCGGCCAGGGGCATTTGGGCACCGCTCCAGCTGCGGCAGGGGAAGGAAGCCAACCAAACCCGTGCCGTAGAGTTGCTGCTGAAATGTGCAAAATAGTGTGGTTGTGGACAATATACCCTTCTGTGATACAGCAGTGGGCCGTGGCCGTGACTTGACCATTGTATGCTCTTGGCCCAGCCCCACGCCCCCCCCCCCCCAAAGAAAAACACCAAACAAACACATGTTCCACAAACATGCACAGCCAAACATACGCACACTTCACGTCACGCGCCTGCAGCGCGCTCCGCCAGGCGGCAGCGTCTGCGCAGGCGCTCAGAGCGCTCACGTAGATCTGGGCATCCAGGCCTTTGACCCAGCGTTTGGCGGCCGTTGCTTGGGGCGAAAATCGAAAATCGACGGTGCAGTTCTCTTCTGGGAAAAGGACCTTCATCCCACACACTCCATGCACGTACGCCAACGTTCGACCGGTAAATGTGGGTGAACATGGGTGAACATTGTATGCGTTGGAGCGTTTGGGTTGATCCACCCAATTGAAAGCGGGGGGAGGGTCTGGAAATAGGACAGGAGGCCATCGTCGGTTCCCTTTTTGTTGATTTGGTGCCTGGCCATTTACTCAGTTGCCCGCGGGTTTGTTGGAAAGTGTGCTGCTCGATCAAGCCAACCAATCAACTCAACTTCAAGTCAGCCTCCCTCACCTTCAGCTACCCAAGTCTAAGCATTGCCTACGCAGCCTAAGTCTGCCTGCTAAACTGGAAGAGGGGGCATCACCTCCAAACCACCAAAGGAGACTCAGTACTCAAGTTTGGGAAAACCCACAGAGGGAAAAGATCCATCGAAAGCCGACATGATGCCAAATAAATTATCCTTGGTGGCGCAACCGGGCAACCGGGCGAGTTGTGAAACCACTCCAGACAACATAAGGAGCCCTGAAACACCAACCCATCACTTGGGTAAAGGACCTGGAGAAGAAATGTGGCAATTTGGGGCAGCATCGCAATGGCACTTGCTAAACATGAATCAAGATGGGAAAGCCCAAAGGTAAAAAAGGTCGATGTCCGAAGCCAGCCGGGGCTCGGAAGCATTTGGAGGCGGTGTGGAAGAGTTTCAGCGCGTGCTGCCACGCGCCGCCCCCGCCTACGGCGGTGATGGCTGCGGTGAAGCCTCACAGACGGAAGCCAGAGTTGCTCAAAAGAAAGGAGCCCTGCAAAAGGAAAGTTCATCAACACATAGGGAAAAAACAGAACAGGATTGCTCCAACTGCCCTGGCACAAGGGAAACAAAAAAAACGGTCCCGGGCAAAGGGCAACAAAAGCCAGACCTATTTTCTCTCTTGACGGTACAGGGAGGGTAAAGTTCACAACATGAGCCATGGTCGAAACTCCTGTGGGTCATGCTCATGCCTCCCTGTCAAGGACCCTGACTGACCCTGACCGTCCCAAACCACCATCGCAAACATCACGCTGACCAACTTCACTGGTCATTTGGGACCAGGGCACACATGCATTTCCAGCTCCCTTTTTTGGTTCATTACTTTGTCTTTGCCCTGGCGTCCCGCCCCACCTCCCCACATGCTCCCCCCCACATGCCCCCCACATGCCCCCCACATGTCCCCCCACATGTCCCCCCACATGCCCCCCACATGTCCCCCCACATGCCCCCCACATGTCCCCCCACATGCCCCCCACATGTCCCCCCACATGCCCCCCACATGTCCCCCCACATGCCCCCCACATGTCCCCCCACATGCCCCCCACATGTCCCCCCACATGCCCCTGTCCCCCCACATGCCCCCCACATGTGTCCCCCCACATGCCCCCCACATGTCCCCCCACATGCCCCCCACATGTCCCCCCACATGCCCCCCACATGTCCCCCCACATGCCCCCCACATGTCCCCCCACATGCCCCCCACATGTCCCCCCACATGCCCCACATACACCTCACTCAGCCAAGACGCTAATGATGTCAGGCCTGGCAGAGCTGCTTTGCATCTCCTCCAGCATCCCCAGCGCCTCCTGCCACATCCTGACGAGTCTGAAGTTGAAAGTGCGCCTCAGCTTCCTTGAAGCTTGGTACAACGGGGTTCAAACGTTTGTCCAACCGAAGTGAACTAATAGCTTCACTCTCTTAGAAGATTATCTCCCTAATCGCGTTTGGCTTGGCATCGCAATTCCCAGTTCCTCTAGATGTGCGAAACCACAGGTCCAACTTCACTGACTTGCCCGAGCCAAGCAAGGAGTATTTACTCCCCCCTCCCAACCCCGAAAAGAAGCACAAGCGCACAAGCATGGGTCCAATGTCTTTCCCCAGTTTGTCCCAAAACGCACAATGCCCAAGTCAACCTTTGCAGGCATCTGTTCAAAGCCTGAACTAGCCAGTTCTCGAAAGCCGCCAGCTACAGCACAAAGAAGAATGCTCCCACAAGCACCATGAGCAAAATCAAACAATCAACGTGTCCGTTGATACTGTTTGCTGTGTTTCCCTGTGTGTGTTGTTTCGGATTTCAAGGCGAGGGTTTCTGGACGTGGATTTCGGACCCCGTTGGGGTGCTAAAGCGCGACCATAAAGCAACCACCTGCAGGGTGTTCCTAATTTTGAGAACATCCATGTCGGCCTTCTGCAGGCTTCACCAAACTGACACTTTGCACATACGGAGATTCTACTTCACAAGCTGGCAACTCCTCAACCTAGCGCTCTTCACCCGCGATTTGCACTCTCCAACATTATAAGCCACAAAGACACAAAAGAAGATCCTACTTCCAGATTCCAGATCTCCAAAAAAACAAGAAGAACCCCAAAGCACCAAGAAAGCAACCAGATGAGCTGCTTTTCAGCACCTCTTTCGGTCTCTCGCAGGTCCTGGGCCCGCAAACCTTCAATGCGGTGTTCCAGGCCTTGGGGACTTGAGGGGCCGCAAGCTCACGAAAGGGTTCTGCATGGGGACTGCTCGAAATGGATCCGAAGTGCCTCAAAAAAAAAACCAAATGAGGGAATTGTCCAGGGCCAGTGGGTGCAACCCTAGGTACTATAACCCTCTAGGTGAGAAGGCATACATCCAGCCGAAAAACTGGTGCACAATTTTCACAGGAGTCCAAACGGGGGTGACACCTCGAAAACATGGAAACTCCCCCAACGACAAACAGTATGATGAGATTTTGACAACCTGCCACTAGGGGCCCTAGGGGGCTGCACACCAAGGCACGACCGCTTCTCGCGTAGGGTTTATCTTTTTGTCGGAACGGTCAAGGAGCAACCCGAACCAAGGAAAATGGCACTGGCAACTGATTAGAACCAAGCAGAAATCGGTGGAACCCACCTATTTTCAAACAAACTCACCGAAGAAAAAAAACAGGTTGTTCCTTTCTCAAATGGACAAAAATGAGGGTGGCAAGATGACAAGGCTGGAGCCAGTGTTAGCATGATGAAAGCAACTGGCAACCAAAGCTGAAAAGGAAAGCCTCCACGACAAACGTCCATGTTTGACACCCGCATTTTCAAACACACCTTTTTTGCGCACCCCCGCCCCCCCAAACACCAGACTAACATTCACACAGCGTGGATCGAGGTGAGTGTTTGAGTGTGGGGGTATCGGCAGTTACAGTGCCAAAATGGGTAACCCTAAAAAACCATCATGTTTAACACTTGGTGGAACCCCAAATTACCAGTTATAGTGGTTGCCTCTGGGTTGCCGGCCCTTCAAAAACCAAACGGGAGATGTGTGGTTTCCTACCGCGCAACTGTAGGGGTAACAAGGACCTCTGGCTTCCACTAGCTTGAACCCTCTGGTTCTTTTTGCTAACAAATGCAGTAACAATAGATTCCTTAAGAGGCTCGGCAGGAATCTATGGAAGACAACACACGGAACTCATAGATTCCTTGAAAGTCATAGTCTAAAGCAAATGGAAGGCTCGGCTTGGTGGAAGCCCTACCCTTTGACCAAAGGCCGCCAGACGAGTTGCCATCAAGTCCAGCGCCACCCGCTGCTGCCGCGCCGCTGCCAACAGCGGCAGCACCTGCCGAGAAAAAAAGAAAGCGAAGAAGACGCGGCACAAGAGGTCGCAGTTTTTTTCCTCGCTAGGCACCCCTCCAGGTTGGCCCTTGAAACAGAAACCATGTACTCTTGGTAGCTAGCTCCCTCTCTTGAGGCAAGTTTGGCCACCCCAGTGATTTTTCCGGACTGACCCCTTGAGTCACTTGAGATCGCCTGGCGCCAGGCGCCCGAAGCTTCCGAGCGGTCGAAGCTCAGGGCGTTCAGCGCCGCAGTGTAGGTCACCACTGTGGGGCACGGCACCTGCAGGCGACGAGAGCCTGGGCTCGTTCGGGAACGGTACCCTCAGGTTGGTTCACAACACGCCAAACACACCAAGTCGAGTCACTTTGTGGTTTTGAGACACACCTGGCTGTGTCTGAAATTAGGGGCCCGTCCAGGTTGGTTCCCAATTAGATGTTCTTTTCCAACCATGCCACACTTTTAACAGGTATGTATGACTTTGGCCATGCTGGGGAAACAAGGTGGTACGGCAGGGTTTCTCAAAGGATACATGTTGGTCAAATGAAAGCCCACCTTTTACCCAGGCTGGTACAGGAGAGCCTTTCAGGGACCTCAGTCCTAAAACACCGAGGTGAAAGCCATACCTTTTTTCGGTGGCCGTAGAAAACCACCCAGTAGAAATGCCGAGAAAGGGAAGCCAGGGTGGAATAGATTTGCTCTGTTGAACCGACTTTCTGTGGTACTGGTAGAGTTCCATGATGAGGAGGGAAATAACCTTCCCCACCCCACTGCCATGATAGAACCGGATCCGCCCCAGCCAACCCCCCATCCCCCCTTGTTTCCTCCAAATGAAAAACTCAAGCTGGCCAAAAACAAGGGCAAACCCACCCCCAACCCCACGGCCGATCTTTTCGAGCCCAGTGCCTCCAGTCGCAGGGCCAAAACCTTCTCCCACTGGCCGCCTGAGAGTAAAAAACTGGCCTCATGAGTTTACCAAAGTCACCTGCAAAGTGGTAGGTTACAGGATAACATTAAATTCCAGTGAGTGACTTGGTAGCCTCCAGAAACGGTCAGAATCGTGACTGCACAAACATGTTTCAAAGGACAACTTTCAAAGCAATCTTCTCAAAGATCCCTGAAAAACAAAGTTGGAGTGGGAGGGAAGAACGGGTCAAGAGAGAGCCGTCCTCTAACACAGTCCCAGTTGTTTTCCCGGGGGACCCAAACTGCAATCGACAGCACTTCCTGGCACCACGGCCACCCCGAACAGAATTCCAGGTCTTTTTACTGTGCATGTTGCTTCAACCGTTCAGCAAATGCAGACAAGTGCGGATTCCCGTTTGCACTTGTGGGCAGCGTCTCCGTTTCTGTGTGCCGGCCGCCTCGGCCCAAGGCCGTCAGCAGGGCGTTGTACCCCACCGCCGCCTTGCTCTCGTCCGCGGCGTTTCTCGCTGCGGTGGCGGTGCGAAGGCTCGGCAGCAGCTGCAGCGCCTGCTGCCAGGGGGCCTGCCCAAGGAAGCCAAAGCTCAGGCCGTCCGGCGCCAATGCCT